AGGCGTGGGCTCAGGGAACAAAAAGAAAAAAAAAGAAGAGTGTAGCATGCGTGTAGTATAGGAATAACCCTACACCGTATCGGTTGTTGACTGTGCGGCTAGTCGCGGAAGCGTACGGGTAACCGTACTCGGCGACCGGAACGTGAGACGGCAGTCTCGTTCGTATTTCGTGAGCCTGCAATCTCATCCGAGGTCAGAGGCGGCGTGGTCTGCTGATCTGGACGTGAGACTGTCGCCTCGTCTGTAGACAGTGCAGATGACGCGTGCTGTTGACTGGGACGTGAGAATGAGGTCTCAGGTGTATCTAGCGTGGGACCTGAAGATGGTTTGGGGATCCCGCTAGTTTTGATAGGTCTAGCATTGAATCTCAGGGTATCAGATAGGCACTGTCATCGACGTGTGCTGGTTTGAGACGGTCAATGCTGACGATCTCGACGCGGTCATGTCGATCAACCTTGAAGGTCTTTTCGTGACGAGCGATCACGTGAAAAGGGCCTTCGTAAGGTTGTTGCCAAAGTTTGCGTACCGAACCTACTCGTATGAAAACATGTGAACAGGTAGATAACTCTCGAGGGAGAACGACCTGTCGATGTTGTATTCGAGTTGACACCAGAGACAGCGTTCGCATAAATGCAGACAGTCGATGGACGTAGTCTAATTTACCGAAATTAGGTCTGCTCCGTGGTGTGAAGAATTCTCCGGGCAGACGCAATGTCGTGCCGTATACCAGTTCAGCGGCGGAACATTGTATATCTGCCTTCAAGCTCGTTCGAATACCTAAGAGGACGAGCGATAAGGTTTCGTACCAGTTGTCGTTCTCGTGTGCTCGTAGAGCACTTTTAAGTTGGCAATGAAACCGTTCAACTTAACCATTTGATACTGGGAGGTAGACGTTAATGCGTATGCGAATGCATTTCGTACCAAGCAGCCGGGTCGGCGAGGAGAATAGTTAAAAGGGGAAAATTTATGGAATAAAGCTTGGAATTCATCGTCACGCGAATAAAAGGTGACAAGGATTCGGTACACGTACATGGGAGTCTATCATATTAATACTATTCTTATCGTTATCCGTCATGTCGCGTATATTATATATTGAAAGGTTATATGAAAATATACGGCAGACGTGGATAGATAAATCATAGACTCACCGAATTGGCTTCTTTGGAAGATTTGACCAGAGGTTGAGGCGTGTTCCAAACTTTGGGATCACCAATTGCAGCGTGGTGTCGAGTTGAGGTTAACTATGAACACCGCTACAAAGAGACACATGCCATGTATTTCAGAAGGCGAAGGTTGAACGTAACCAAATAAATCCATAAAATCCCCGAGAAGCCAAATATCAGAAGGCAATTAATGGACCAAATCGAGATATATTCGCTGGCAATCTCGTGGCATCGAAAGGATACCGAGATCGTGCCAGGATAGAAGCTTGGTTACAGAACGTAACCGAATTCGCGCGAAGTCACAACCAAAGTGTGTGAATAAGAATGGAAGCAAAAAATAGCTGTCATTAGCACAGTCAAACAAAAGCACATAAAAACAAACACTGGTACAGTTGGTTATAATAATAATAATCGTTTTTATTAAACCAGTCGTGTTCTCGTGATAAATGTGAGTCACTACAGGAGCCCCCCACTGGAAAGGGTTTACACTTTCGATAAATAGCGGTTTAAATCGTAAGACTGATCGGCTGACGAGCGATTGTAGAACGGAAGAATTGGCGAACAAGAGAGCGATCGTTGATCGTCGAGTTGCCAACGAAGGTCGTTTTCGGAGAACGGTACCAAGAGCGATGCGCTGTATTTGTTGCTTGAGTTGGCATGCTACACCAGAGTGGTTTGTATCCAAAATCTGAAGATGGCGTTCGTAGGGGTCCGGACCAGAAACGCTGCAGACGTAGGACGAAACCACGTTGAGCCAAAAGACCAGAAGCGACCGTAACGACCAAGTTCGAGACCAAGCGTATGCAAAGCATTCGAAACCAATATATCGACTGAGTGCGTTGACAAGAGCATGGGTGATCAGGCCAGCTTTCGCCAAAGTTGACTGAAGTCGACGGAGCCAAACGGAGGTGGTCGAAGGCGTGGGCTCAGGGAACAAAAAGAAAAAAAAAGAAGAGTGTAGCATGCGTGTAGTATAGGAATAACCCTACACCGTATCGGTTGTTGACTGTGCGGCTAGTCGCGGAAGCGTACGGGTAACCGTACTCGGCGACCGGAACGTGAGACGGCAGTCTCGTTCGTATTTCGTGAGCCTGCAATCTCATCCGAGGTCAGAGGCGGCGTGGTCTGCTGATCTGGACGTGAGACTGTCGCCTCGTCTGTAGACAGTGCAGATGACGCGTGCTGTTGACTGGGACGTGAGAATGAGGTCTCAGGTGTATCTAGCGTGGGACCTGAAGATGGTTTGGGGATCCCGCTAGTTTTGATAGGTCTAGCATTGAATCTCAGGGTATCAGATAGGCACTGTCATCGACGTGTGCTGGTTTGAGACGGTCAATGCTGACGATCTCGACGCGGTCATGTCGATCAACCTTGAAGGTCTTTTCGTGACGAGCGATCACGTGAAAAGGGCCTTCGTAAGGTTGTTGCCAAAGTTTGCGTACCGAACCTACTCGTATGAAAACATGTGAACAGGTAGATAACTCTCGAGGGAGAACGACCTGTCGATGTTGTATTCGAGTTGACACCAGAGACAGCGTTCGCATAAATGCAGACAGTCGATGGACGTAGTCTAATTTACCGAAATTAGGTCTGCTCCGTGGTGTGAAGAATTCTCCGGGCAGACGCAATGTCGTGCCGTATACCAGTTCAGCGGCGGAACATTGTATATCTGCCTTCAAGCTCGTTCGAATACCTAAGAGGACGAGCGATAAGGTTTCGTACCAGTTGTCGTTCTCGTGTGCTCGTAGAGCACTTTTAAGTTGGCAATGAAACCGTTCAACTTAACCATTTGATACTGGGAGGTAGACGTTAATGCGTATGCGAATGCATTTCGTACCAAGCAGCCGGGTCGGCGAGGAGAATAGTTAAAAGGGGAAAATTTATGGAATAAAGCTTGGAATTCATCGTCACGCGAATAAAAGGTGACAAGGATTCGGTACACGTACATGGGAGTCTATCATATTAATACTATTCTTATCGTTATCCGTCATGTCGCGTATATTATATATTGAAAGGTTATATGAAAATATACGGCAGACGTGGATAGATAAATCATAGACTCACCGAATTGGCTTCTTTGGAAGATTTGACCAGAGGTTGAGGCGTGTTCCAAACTTTGGGATCACCAATTGCAGCGTGGTGTCGAGTTGAGGTTAACTATGAACACCGCTACAAAGAGACACATGCCATGTATTTCAGAAGGCGAAGGTTGAACGTAACCAAATAAATCCATAAAATCCCCGAGAAGCCAAATATCAGAAGGCAATTAATGGACCAAATCGAGATATATTCGCTGGCAATCTCGTGGCATCGAAAGGATACCGAGATCGTGCCAGGATAGAAGCTTGGTTACAGAACGTAACCGAATTCGCGCGAAGTCACAACCAAAGTGTGTGAATAAGAATGGAAGCAAAAAATAGCTGTCATTAGCACAGTCAAACAAAAGCACATAAAAACAAACACTGGTACAGTTGGTTATAATAATAATAATCGTTTTTATTAAACCAGTCGTGTTCTCGTGATAAATATGAGTCACTTCAGATGCATGACAGATCACTATGTGTGCTGGCTACAGTTGCCACTTAAGCGTGACATCGGGGAGGCTCCTTGAAACTTTTTTATGACGAACGATTTGCATATTCGGAAACTGCAGAGTTCTCTGCTGTTTCTAGAATATTTGGCAAAGGTGTTATTGTACTAAATACCATCGGGGTTATTCTCCTCTTTTGGTTCTGTGACGGATCGTTTTTGATATGGGCTTCTTAGGATAATTTTGTAGTTTTGCGGTTATGATGAATAGACTGATAATGAGTGGGACTACTTCAGTTGTCTGCAAAATCATTTTGTTTCATCTGACTCTTTTCTTGGATGGAATGAACTCTCGTGCTGGAGGACCTGGTGACCTATAGAATCTGCTCAGCAGATGCAGTCATTTAGCTCAAGGCGTTATTTTGGGATGATACGAGGACCCAATCAGTAGATGGGAATCTTCGTCAACAAGAGCTGTCTTAAGAAGTCTTTGTTGAGGGTCCGCCGACAAATGGTAGCTGTATAAGTAGCGATGTTTCTGTTTCAGAACCTTATTACGATTCTATATTGTGGAACAACTGGTCTGACCTTTGTCGATCCGTTCGGTTTGAATGTTTAAGGCCGGCCTTTTTTAGGTGTCATGAGGTTCTTGAACATCACTAGTAAACATACTAATGTAGTGTACTTGATCAAACCACATAGTTGCGCCCTAACCACCATTAAAAATTGTGCACGTGGAGCTGTTACACCGTGCTCGTGGAAGTCAGCTGTCGTTTTATAGAACCAGGATCCGATATTATTAGACCAGAATAGAGCGAGTTGAGACATGGGGGCGAAAGCGTCCTAATGAGTAACAGTTTGAGTGTTCGTTCCAAAGTCATGATGATATGATGGATAAATAGGCTAAAAATATCAGCATGCGAGAACAATATCACAATATGTAGAAAGATCTATATATCATGTTCAAACAAGGAACAGACTCACAGTTTATCGTTTGGTGTACCAGACCAGGTCGAACCCACTACTAAAGATGCCACATATATTCGAGGTATGACAATTGTTTTATCTGAAACAACATTATTATCGAGAGATACCATATCTATTGAGTTTTATTATAAATTTGAAGTGCAACTCATGCGCTTATGGGTTCATAAATTCACTTTTCAGCTTATTCTTATATCTTCCAAGTTTTTCACAAGACGGTGACAGTAAAAAGTATCTCAACACGAGGTGCAAACACACTTACAACCAAAGTCAACAATCATTTGTTAAAATAAGTATGCATTCAAGGTTGACACACATTTTACAGCAGGTATGAATCAACCGCGTATTTTCAAGCTGAGGTCAGGAAGCTCAAGTGTTCTCCATTGGATATTCTTAATTGCATCATTTGTCTTTCTAACAAAAGAATTGCCGTCATGAATTTTGAGGTTTAGCCCTTATTCCTATTCAAATAAGGTTAACAATATGTCACTTTAATTAGAATGGGACATATGAAAACTTCCCTATAACTAAACTCCAATTAGGAAAAACATTAGACTATAATACACTTAGCCTCAAAGTCACTCGCACAATCAGATTAGTCAGTTGCTGTTTTGATATACGAACAATTGTTCGTGCAATTATTATTACTAATTTAGAAGTAGTATTTCTGGGTTATATATTATCACAATATGCAATCATAAGAACTGACGTAGTTCGACTGCATGAAAATTTAATGCAACGATATCGTAAGCACAAACCTAATCAGTCTGTGCTAAAGGTGATTATAAAAGTATATTCATTTGTATAATAGCCTGAAACAGTAGATATGTATTACTAATCAATACTTTGACATAACAAAATGTTTTGAATATTCATATTGCAATTACGTTCTAAAACTTTATAAAGCACGGCCAGTTAAATCAGGTCCTTCGTAACTGTTAGCACAGTAAACTGTAGTAAATCTGTGTTTGTTGTAAAACCCACTCTAGAATTGTTTTTAGTACGTTTATAATATGGCCATCAGTTTCCGGCAAATAAATGGCTTAGCACCTGCAATAAGTGACACAATCAGTATTCACTGAAATAAGACTTCAACTCCTTGTTTATTCAGACATTTTCGTTCCTTAATTAGGTAGGAAGTAAAAAAGCAGTTAATTCGGATATCGTAATAAAAAAGGATGATACTTAAAAACTTTTGCCTTCCTTTGGAGTTGAAGAAATCTCAGCTATTCGTCAGTGGTTTTTATTTTGGATTGTACGTACCAAATACCGAGGGTTTTAATCCACGTGATTTGCAGGATTTCATCCCCAGTTGTGAGACGTCTGGATTTTCATAACCAAGTTATTATCTCATCAATGTATGTGGCTTCACTGGGTTGAGATGTCATTTTGGCCTCGGGAATGCTTAGTAAATTTACTTACAATACTTCCACTGGGACTCATAAATGCCCAGATCTATGGGTTCTGGGACTCCTGTCACTGGTTCACCTCAAACGTTAAAGTGCATTATGATGCGAGATAATAATAAATCACGGTCATTTTTACTGTTGCACTGAATCGTACGAAGTGCATTTTTGTTTGCTTTTTCCAGAACCTCGTGTTTGAATATAGACGTAGGGTCTCATTCACATAATCTTGTTCAAAACAAGCCTTCTGTGCTGATGGAATGTGCAAAATCATAGACTATTGTTTTTTTCTTTGTATGAGAACTAGAAATGCATATGGAATTCATAAATTAAAATGAGTTCTTTGAACCCGAGTGAATTGATATCACTGCCAAAAACCTGGAAAAGATAGTTATGGGCTTTTTCACCACTATTTAGATAGTAGTAGTTAAGAGTAGTGAATTTTCTAAACCATTAAGCCTCTTCAATAACGCTATTTCTGTTGGGGAACAAACGAGTATCTTTTGTGTCTGAAGTTGATTACTCATTTTACACGTATTGCTTCCAATCATCTCAACGCATGCCATTTACAAGCTACTAATTTTTGGTACGGATATCCAGCATAATCTGTCTTTATTTTTTATCTTCTTTCTGTCATTCTTTGCCTTTGAGGAATATAGTTTAGAATTATCCACAATGGCGCGGATGTATTCACTTTATCCTCCTCTTGATCTTAAATCCCAGTATTCCTTCATGCACACCTTTCTTGTCTTTCTTTTCAATCCACATTCAAAATATTTAGTCTTTCTCATTATCATTGAGACTACATTATGTAGACTTGTTTACTTTTCGTCTCATTTTTGCAGTGAAGTGTAACAACTTGGACTCATGCACATTTACGCTAGGCTTCATTTCGATTATGATTGACAGTGAGTACCAGGCCATTTTGTGTCACTTATAATACCGTTAGTTTTGTTTATATGACAATCACTTTTGTTCTTATCCTTTTCAGTACAGGACCTTGAATAATCACATCACTGTAAATGTTGGGCTGTGATTGTAGTGATGATGATCTTGATAGATTACTTGAAATTGATGAAGAAGTAAAGTATGAAAATCAACAATTACCGATTGTCGACTTGGACACAAATAACCGCTCCCCAAATCCTAGCCATAAGAGAACTCTATCACTGGATATAGAGCAATGTAATTATTATTATTATCTCTGTTGATAAATGTTTTAGGTAGCTCATCAAAAATATTAAAGACATTAGTGGCTGACCATGAGGAGGACAAGCTCCAAGATAATATTCGGCCATGTACATCTATACCAACAAATGGTGGTCTATTGAAAAGGATTCCATTGGTCGGGGATTATGTTTCATTGACGTTTGATAGTGGTGAACGATTTTATCTGAGTTTTGGTGAATCCGACATTGATGATTTACCTGATAAATTTAACAGGTATTCTTGTAACTATGAATCATCAGATTTGGTGTATAAAGCTGAGGAACTTGTAAGCCTTTTCAATTTTTTGTTGTCATGTATCTATTTATATAAATATGTATCAGCTGAAGAATTCCAAGTCTAACATGATCAGTGCACAAATCGGAGAGAAACACGGAGAATCTGGTTTCGCACAGCTATGGACTACAAAATATTCCCCATCTACTTATTTAGACTTGATATCGGATGAGGTAAATTTTGTCGATTAATATTCTTGGTATTTCCACGCTGTAAGTAGTATGTACATGTTTTTGTTCCTTCGCTATAGTGTAGATTATAGATATGTTATCTTGTCTAATGTTTAGCCTGTAGTTGACGTGTATGTATGTTCTTATTTCTTTGACCTCATTTGCTGTATACAGCGATTTGGTTTGTACAAGAGTTAGGTAAGGTTTTAAATTGTGGCAATATCCTCTATCTAACCTGGTGTATGTTCAGTTCGAGTTTAACTGAGGTTATAATACTATACGAATTTTCCATTTAGTGGTCAAACTTAAATCACATATATATAGGACCAAGCAAATGTGCCTAGGTGATTTTGCTCATACTTACTCTCGATAAACAGCTACGTCTAGATTTATAGTTGTAGACAAGTTACTCGTAGTAAATCAACTATTTAACATCGAATGATTCACTGTTTTGCTATTTTTCCAGTTGTGAAGTTCATCTTATTTTTAAATTCTATCTGCTTATTGCCACCACGCTAATAAAAAGTTGTTTCATTGCAGACTACTAATCGAACTCTCCTCAGGTGGTTGAAAGCCTGGGACCCATATGTATTCGGGACACCAGTACCTAAAACTCAAGTTAAGTCAAACCCGAATCCAGGGCTGGTACCATACAAGTCGAATGATATTGAAGCTAAAGCTGGTGAAATTAATCCTCGTGATGGACTACCTCTATATAGACTGGTGTTAATTTCTGGACCTCCAGGTTTAGGAAAAACTACTCTTGCTCACTTGTTGGCACAGCATGCTGGATATCAAGTAGTTGAAATAAATGCGAGGTTTGTTCTTGACTTACACCCGAATTACAAATTATCCTTATCAATTCCCCTAGGCGTATTGATTTTGTGATAAATTTGGTGGTTAAATTTTATGCTTAGCTTCAAATCTTACTGTGATTCTCGCTTTAGATATTTATCTGTGACCAATAGTTCATATAACTGACTCGCGTTTTCTTATCAGTAATGTCTGGTTTTCCACTACCAATGTTTAATACTGGCAGTAGTGTGAACAACTGTTTCTCTTTGAAGAAGAAAGTAACCCAGTGGGAGAAATTTCTTTTTGATAGTTTATGTACTTGAGCTGTACAATCGTACTTATAGTTAATTCCATTTGCTAAAATATTGGCCCATAGTAAAATAGAATAGTGTTGAGTAATTGAAGGAAGCTTGATGTGGTATCTTGTCATGAATTTTTACGAAAATCAGATATTGAAATTTATGTGATGATCGGCTAACGAAAAGTGCTAAGGTGAAGGTAAATGTCCACTTGATAACTCAAGAACAGAATACTTAAGAGCTTAATAATGGCTAATTAATAATTATAAAAGTAGTTGGAAAGGAGTAGAAACGAAAAGAAGATAGATTATGGAAGATAGAAAAGAAGATTAAGACCACGAAGTTCTACGTTGTTACTGACTGACTCATTCAGTAAGATACTTTCTAGTATTACATATTGCTTATTGGATTAGTGCACATCATTTTTACGTTAGTTATCTCCCAACCTGTAATATACAAATGAGTGTATTATTTTTATTGTGGAGTTTTTTATCCACTATCCTGGTTATTGTTTAGAAGGGAGTTTAGTTCAAAGAGCAGTCTAGTTGCAAACTTAGTTTTTAGACTTAATCTCTAATTTCATCACGGTATGGTTATCTGCTTATGTTACTATTAGCTCTCACACAAAAGTGTAAATTGAAGCCATCTACTTAGACCTGTACTTAATTAGTGAGTTAATAATTATCTATATCATTCTTGCTTGTTATATTTTCAGCGATGATCGTAGTTTAGGTGTACTACGTGATCGTTTAACGGCAGTCGTTTCTAGTTCAACCAGTTTAAATACGTCAAAGAAGACAAGTTTTGGTAATCATGGAACAAAGCTTAAGCCGTGTTGTTTGATCATGGATGAAATAGACGGAGCTATGCCTGTAGTAGTTGAACTATTAGCGAATGCTGCGAAAAATACTTTGTCGTCTAATACTGAACGACAACAACAGCGAAATAGACGTGCTAATCCTCCATTAGTTTTACGTCGTCCTGTTATCTGTATATGTAATGATCTGTAAGTATGGTAATCTAATTTATTTGAATATATTACTTGTTATAATATGCACTGGTCAGTGTGATTTATTGGTTACTACAATCTTATAGGCTTGGTTTGATTCAACCATTCAGTCATACGTGACGTCGAACCTAGCACATTTGTGGATCAGTTCAATTCGCTGCCCAACATCAGCACGGCGAGTTTCCAGAGTAGTAGAGTTAGTTATATCCTTAGTTACAGTAGGAAAAATTAAGCATAGAAAAGATGATTCAAGAAAAAACATACGAATTCGTGGAACAAAATTATCTCAAACAATTTAGAATCTGAGGACCTTATTTTTATTTATTTGTTTATTTATTAATTTCAAACACAAATATTGGTACAAGTAGGCAGCAAGATAAACATGCACCATACAAACAAGACAATAAAATGTGTACAGCGTGAATCAACAGTATCTGAAGACGGACAAGGTAAATATATCTGTCTCATTGGTTTGATTGATTAACAGTGTCATAGGTAAATACATTTTAGATCAGTATGTTATTAATGCAATCTTTCAAGACTGATTTTGCCCAAAGTTCTTTACTTAAAGTATTCCAAATATGTGCATTCTGTATAAAATTCTTTCATTTGTGTTAATCTTTTCGCACCAAAAAGAATCTGATTTCTAATCACAATAGATATGTTTGTCAATCGAATCGAATTTGCGATAGCTGTGCTATTAAAAAATATTTCCCTGTGCTAAAATATGTATTTAGTTGGTATATATGCCAGTATCAAAAAAGTTATTTGTGTACTTTACAGATTGACCTTAATTGGGTACCATTGGAAACCAGGAAACATTAGGAAGCTTCTTCGTTTTAGCATAAGGCTCCTCATTAGTAGATAACCACGACTTAGACAGAGATAGAATTTGAGACCTTCAAGTTTATTGGTGTGCGTTTAAGTATTGAACTGCTGGGTTAACATTCATTGGTATTCAGTGGTCTAATAGTTAAGTACTCTTCATGTGACACTAAGGTCCTGAGTTCGATTCCTAATGGTAGTGGTAGGTTCGTGTACCCTGCTAAGCATTCCTATTCGAAATAAATCTTAGGTAAACACCACCCACTAATCAGAAGGCATTTCTACAAAAACCCCTCCTTAAGTAGCTATTTGTGAGCTCTTTTGTAAAAATTACTTCAATAAATTACGTATTTTTGTAGGTTCACTTACTGTATAAATACCACATTTGGTTTGTGAAAACATAGCGCAGTACATCGCCACACTCCAAATTGTTAGATGTCAATATAAGAATAAATATATGCCCAAGTCAATAAATCATACTTAAAAATGTTAGCTGGTTTAAGTTTTATTGGTAAAGTTATAAGTTTACAACTGGAATATCTGCAAGTGACAATTTAATTAATATAACCTATTTTACAAGATAAAATGGGTAGTTTTGCGTTCTTATAGAACTTAATCATCTGTTAGTTCGATACGGGTTTAACTGTGTTGGATGCCCATTGGAACCCATTTAGTTTCAAAATCTGCTTTTTTATTTATGGAAACACCGTTGCTTAGTAGTTTAAACGCTCGACTTCCAACCACTAGATCATAACTCCCAACTTCACCGTGATTTCTTCTCCATCACGCAGAAAACATAAACCAAAGCTTTGTATGGGAAATAGAATTCTATCACTGAATTGTGTTAACTTTCCATTGGTTCAGAAATAAATCGTTTCTCTGAAATAATCGTTGGTATATGCTTTTGTCTTTGAATTCTTTATATTAATTAAATTGTAAAATACATTTTTGTTTCTCACTACTAGATATTCTCCATCGATTCGAGCGTTACGAGCTCCCGGAATACCTTGCTTAACTATACGTATACCTATTGTTGACTTAGGTCGATTGGTTTCTAGACTTGATTTAATAACTAAAACAGAAGGATTATCTCTTGACAAGATAACCCTTACACAATTGGTAGAAATGTCTGATCGAGATATTCGTTCGTGTTTAAATACATTGCAAGTTAGTAAAAATTTCCTTTGGAATTATTTCTGTATACATTATTATTTCACTTTATCCAGGGATAGTTATTTGTTTATGGATTTCTACTTGGATAAAAAACCCATTCACACATTGATTACCGTGAATTCTTTTGAAGTTTGCATCAATACTTATAACTTATTTGCACTAGATCATTGTTAATTAACAGTTCATACATAGTATTATTGAAACATGCTGTTAGAAGGGCAGTTAAATTAATATTTTAGTTAGCTGTATTTCTCAGAAATTGATAGTAATTGACGAAAGTCTTAAACGCTTTCAGAAGTCAATTCTCTAACCCAATTTTCTAAATGCAAAACTACTATACTTAATTGTATGTTACTGGCAAATGGTTCTGTAACTTTAATTGTTAAGTCTCTAAGCAGATTCTGACCAAACAAAATAATTTGCTACTCTTACTGATTACTTATTTAAAACGAAATCGGTTTCGTTTACTTTCAAACTACAGTAATAAGAGTTAGCGAGTCCATTCCTAATGAATAGTATCCAACTGACAACTATCTGTTGACATATTAAGTATAATCCCACAATAAATATCAGGATGCTAACTGAAAATCAGTTGTATAAACGGAGTTAATCAAGTGAATAATGAGGTTGTCATTAGTTCTTTCAACACATCATGTAAATTTATCTTGGATTTATGGATTTACAGACAAAGCCCACTAGAAAACTAATATGTTGTATCGTAGATGTTTTCATTACACTACATTTCAAAATATTTGAAAAAGAATCATATGCTCTACTGATCACAGCGTTCAGATAATGTAGAATCAGTATGTGTCTAAACTAATAAAACTAATTGTGTAGCTCATCGTAATTATCAGAAACAAGAATTCACGTATCATTAAAATTGCCTGAAAGCACTAGAGAGCCGTTTCGTCGTAGTATGGGGCTCCTCAGCGGCGCACATCCATGATCCCGCACGCGGGATTCGAACCCAGGACCTCCGGTCTCGTGAGCGAACGCTTAACCTCTAGACCACTGAGCCGGCATTCAAGGGAACATGGCCGCGCAATTTCATGGATCGGTTGAAATTAGACATCGACACCACTAAAATCCAACTCAATAGTCTAAAGGTTAGGCGCTCGCGCGTGAGTTTGAAGGTTCCGGGTTCGAATCTCACGTGTGAGTCGTGGATGCGCACTACTGAGGAGTTCCATACCAGGACGAAAGGTCCTCCCAGTGCTTCCAGGTTTTGAATGGTGGTCTAACATTAATCAATTGATGATCTCAATCAAAACTCAACAATTTCCGCAACCACATACTTATAATTAAACTTACCTTTGAAATTGGCAGCAAGTCTATTTTATAATTTAAATTGGTAATTAGGAGATTTTCGAAAGTAGTTTGTCTACGGTTTCCTGTCATTTAGTACCACTATTATTCCTCTTGTTGATTGGTTATTCCATTCACATAGTCGAACAGCTGACAACCCTAACCAGAGTGCTCAATTTCTTGAGGATATGAGTTAAAAACAACATTGTGTATGGGGTTTCGTTAAGGTGGAATAATAAGAGTAACATAATATTTAATAGATTTCGAGCGATCATATTATATTCATAAAAAAATGATTACAGTACCTATGATGGTCATTTATTCAAAAGTACTGGCTTTGCTAAAAATGATAAATCACAGCTTGAAACGTCTGCCTAGAGAAATAGCTTGATAGGCGAATCAAATATTGTTGATTCTTCAAAAGGTCACAATACTTTTTTAAAAATATAGAGTATATATATATAATTACAGGAAGACTGGGCCGAAACTATTTTGACCATATTGTTAACCTTTGATGTCTTCTACGGTATATTTAAAAGGTGTTTCTTGTTAAATGTATACGTCTACTGAAATCTGATGATGTAGCTGTCTTGTGATCATAATATTCGTATATGTCTGACACATGTAGAACTTCCAATCAACCCTTACTTTTTTCAAACCATAAGTCAGTGCATAATGCATGCCAGTTCGCCAAAATCATAGATTTCAGTTGGTTTAGATTTAAAAATTTACTGGTAGCTTAGCAATCACTCTCCGACACGCCTTCACTACGTAGAATTGAACTTTACAAATGTATCAGTAATATGGGACAGGGCAACGGATACATTACAGTGTTTATTTAATATATATGCATAACCTTCAACCACCCATGTGCATGTTGCGATGTGTTCTGGAATCCGAATTGTCTTCTCGTCTAGTTTTCAAGTACCTTGCTTACGCCGTGCTTTTAATGTACTGATCCTCTTCTCTTTGTTTGACGACTGTGACAGTCTTGAACCTGCGTCCTGATACATACTACTTACAGGTAATTTTGTGTGTAGCGTCCACAGTAGGTGTACATCGATATGGTTTCTTCATTTTTCTCATTGGCCCTGTTTCTACGTTACATAATAACAGGACAAACTACGCTCGACAGCCGTCAGTTCGTTCTAAAATATTCTAAGATTCTGTCCCAGAGTTTTAGGTATTTTTCTCACTTGTCGAGGTTTCATTCTTTCTACTATCCCAGTAGAGAAGGGATATATTATTCTACGTTATGACCTTTCTTCTGATAGCATATCAGTATCAACCAATACTTTGGTTGACTGCATATGTTTTATTACGAATACAGACTGTAAATTCACTCAAAGTTTTTAACCTGGTATCTAACTTAATTCTTAACTATTTTCATTGATGTTTACTCTGAGATTGTTTGGGGTAGACTTAATTTGGTTGAGCTAACTGTTACATATGAGAAGTAGTGTTTGCATAACACGAGTACTCGTAAATTCATTTTACGACTATACCAGAGTAATAATAACAATAATAATAATAATAATAATAATAATAATAATAATAATAATAATAATAAAGTCCCTCCATTATGTTTTAAGTGTAATATACTATGTGTAAACGGACTGGGCAATCTTAGTATCTGATCCCAATTAGTGTGTGAATATTTTATTATTATCGAAAAGCTTTAGAGTTGATGATAAAAATGTTTTGTTAATAAAAACTACTTATTCTATCATTTCAAATGATAGGACATGACACTAAAAATTCATATTTGTCGTTGATGAGAAATCTTTCGTCATATGTTTTAAAGAACTACTTTGTGTTTCACATATATTTCAAAGATTTTCTTTTCTTTTCAGTTCTTGAATTCAGTGAAATCTTTAGGTAATAATATAAACCATAAATCAGGTTGTTTGTCAGTGAATGATATCTTATCACTGTCCCAATTTCATAACGGTGGTCTGAAAGATGTTCAGAAAAGTGTATTTGATGTGTGGAAAGCTGTATTTACCATTCCTTCATCTCGTTTACTTTCAAATCGAAGAATAACCAGGTCTGAATGCAATAATAATAATAATACAAGGAGAAGATATGGTAAAAATCATGATACTCAATCTGCTAGGTAAATTTTGCATATTTTTATGTATTGTATTCTACAGCAGTTAGATAATGGTGGTAATAATAGATTTGTTGGACAAGCATTAGTGTCAAATTCTATATTTTTAACGACTGATTAATTAACTGAAGTTGAATAGTTCATTTTACTTTATTATTTTGTCCAGATTATTTTACGAATATCTAAATGTAACCCCGAATGCCTTGTTACGGCTGAGGGTTGGGAGAGCCCACTCTCCCTCTCGAAATTCTATCATATGTCCACGCGTATGTAGCCACTGCCAGGGAAGTCCTACTCACTGCTTTATCGCGGCGAGGTTGTTGTTCACGCTTTTAAGAGGACGAAAAGCGTATTTCCGGCGCTTAAATTTGGTTGGTTAGTACGGAGGGTCCACATACAGGAGTTGAAAAACTGAGATTCCAAGCCAACGCAGCACATGAACTCCAGGATTGTGAGGGAGTAAATGGCTCATGAACCTATTGCCGGTTCCTGGCCACCATGGGACTTAATCGTCTAACGTTACCCCACTGTCTTTGCGGATTAAACCTCTAGGTAAAAGGCTCAGGGCATGGCCCTCTAAGAAAATCACTTGTCTTAGTTGAGGCACCCGGACCGTATTCCTGTCCATACAAATTGGATGATAACCGCTTTGTGTGGTGCATATATATTTCGGTGCTCCTTTGTACTAATGCTTTTGCGTTTAAATTAATAATCAGTGTATCTCACTATTGCACTAGCAGTCAGTATAGAAATGATATAAGGATATTTTAAATGCATAACAATGTAGAGTTTTTTTTACAAATCTATTAGGATTCAAATAAATTATGTAAAAAGGTTTGTTAGTTGATTATATATTTTTATAAGAATTTTTCACCATAGTACTAGCATTATTGTATCATCCAAAAACATGAGTGTTATGATGAAATTCTAATTCTACAAAGTAATTTCTTTAAACTTTTATTAGTTTAAAAGAACTGTTTTGCGAAATTCCAGTACTGATTCTATTTAAGATATTACATACAAACCGGTAATTCACAGATTTCAGCTCTTCACGCATTATGGTTTAGTCAACTGAGTGGTATCATTAACTCCCAAATAAACCTTTTTGCTCATAATCAAGTACATAAATATTTACTAGATAAAGAAATCACATTACTAATCGTTGTCTCCAGTATTTAGTAATTATTAATTCTAGCATTGCTTAAATTTATTCTGCATACTTTCAATTTGTATCACTATTACTATTGGATATAAATTGTTGCTTATACTTATCTATTTAAAAAAATATTAAGACTGGCCTATATAATGGACGTTACAGAAGCTTCTACTGATCATCAACAAATCACACTGGGTATATTTGAGAATTATCTTTATGGTCATTTAAAGGATGCTACCTTACGAGTAGTAAGTTTTAATTGTTCATATATCTCGATTTGTTATATATATGTATTCTTGTTTGAAATATTCTAGTTTCATTATTCTTGTCTATTTTCAGGCTTGTCAGGCATCTGAGTGGTTTGTGTTTGACGATTTGCTTAACGCTTGTGTACAAACTAAATCGAATTATTCACTCCTACGTTATGCTAATTTCTTGCCTTGCTGGTTTCATATGGCTTTAGCTACACCATCAGGTCTTTTCAACAAATTTACTACTGCTAATAACACATCAACCGGAAATGTCAAATATGTAGGCGGTTTACGTTGGCCTTCTACTCCTTTGGAAACTGCTGCCACTCGTTCACATTATTTGGGAATATTGGATCAGTTATATTCAAACCAATGGAACCTACCTCAATGTAAATCTGATAAGTCTGTCAGTAATTTTAACAGTTTTCGGTATGTAGTGAACAGAATTTTTTGTATGTGAATGGTGAAAATTAGTTATATGTTCTCTTATAACTCAATATGTTGGGAATGAGACCTGTTGTCTAATGATTGCACTTTTAGTCTTTTCATACAGCTAAAAGTTTGTTTGAGGATGTTGTTAATTGTCAGATAAACTCTCTCAAATACTAAGTGCTTACCTAGATTTTTAGCTATTGTATTAGATTATAAAAATATACGATTAGCTGTTGAAAAACAAACTCCTTTTTATTCCTGTTTGAAATTGTATCATTGAATAATATGATACATAAAAGCTTAGTTTTTCGATGTAAACAGGTACAATAATACTCTTTTCCGTTTCTATTAAAATGACTTATTTTGAAACATTATTCAAAATAATTTTTCCAAAGGACAACAAAGCATATCGAATATTGTGTAGTTTCTGTCTATGCATCTCACAACTTGATTTCATGTGTTCATTGATTATTTTAAATAAATGACTAGAATTCTATTCTTTTTGATTTCTCATATGTATTCACTTACTTCAGTCGATGTCGGGTATTATTAGATTATCTTATCAGTCCATTAGTTATAAGCAACATAGAACCTGGCACAAATGTGCACTAACCCAAGTTGGGATAATACGTCAATACAGTGGAATGAAATGAATACTGTGGTATTAGCAATCGTAGCATTAAGTAACTGGTGAGTATGGTTCGAGAAGAAATAAATTAGCAGAATAAACAGCATAATTTAATGTTGAAACTCAGAAAATAGTAGACAAAGACTAAGTACATCTGTGATAGTGCGTTCGATTCTGAGCCATATAACTGGTTGGTAAGTGCCATTTAATTTATTTAAAATTATTAGTGAGTCCGATTCTTGCTTGATGCTTTGTATTTATGTTCTAAATAAAGTTCTTCTTCTACAATATCGTGATTCGTTAATGTCGTATTTCTTATTTTTGATGATAAAATTTCCTAGATTTCTACCACGTCGTCATTTTTTATTAGATATGGCACCTACTTTAATTACTCTTTTGAGTATGATCGCTTCCACTCTTCGGCCGTTGAGTGCACAGTTGTATAATCAACATGAGAAATTAGCGCTTGACAATTTAGTCAATTTAATGTTAAATCTTGGTTTGAATTTGTTAGCAGAACAGGATTCTGAGAGTAACGAAGTTCAATATCAACTTAATCCGTAAGTACAATTTGTTTTGTTTTTAAAAAGATTCAATATGTCGGCGTTTTGTACATCATCACTAGATTACATAGGAATCGTGTGATTACTACTCAAAATATGCATTATATAATAGAATGAGAGCTTGTGCATGTTGTGTGTGTATGTGTAGAAACTATCGTATATGTCATAATACTAGTTCTCTATTGAAAATAGTTTCGCACTAGCTGAAGTTAATAATATAAGCTGTTGAGTTTTAATTCAGTGCTCTTGATAACACTAAATGGTCCTGTTTTCGATACGATGTCGGGTTCTAGGTGGACACCGCTCAGTATTAACTGCCGTAATTTTATTTAGGAAGTTTCATCAATCCTTAGTTTGCTTACAAATAACATACACTATCCTACATACTGATGAAGTATGGTTTAATTTAGTGACAAACGAATAGTTTTCATTTAGCCACCATGAATCAGAAGCTTAAATCAATTATTTTTTTTACTTAACAGATGAGTGGCTTATAGAATAGTTGAAGTTAATATTTGAGATGGGCTTATCGGTTATAAATTTTCTTTGTACCGTTCTGCTTTGAAACTACCTTTTAAAACATGAGTGTCATATAATATTTCAGGCCGTTAGATCTTGTTGCTTGTTTCACAAAGACAAGTAGTTTGAAGTCACTTGGATATGCTACTAAACAGTTTATTGCACGTGAGTTAGAAATTGAAAGAGTTCGACGTTCTGAATCAATGATTAATCGAAATGTTAATAAGTCAGAAGCTTGTAATGCCACCACCAAATCGGATTCCAAACCATCACTCGAGAGTTTAATGGATACTGTATCACAAAAATCAAAACTTATTGGTACAAAAAGTTCAAAGGTATGGTAAATTTAACATTCATAATTATGTAACTTAAGCAAATATTGATGTTCATAGCTTTTTATAATGTTCACTCAATTTGCTATTTAGATCACTTAGGTATTTTTTCTGACATTTATATGTGAAATTAATGTATAATGAAAAGTAAATAAAAACCAAAGCATATCTTCTCATTACTTGTAAAATGTGTCTGATATAGATAAAAAATAGTTCAGTTTAATGAAATGATTACTTGTTGGTTATCTTCCTGTAACTTAGATACCTGTCTCAACATTAATAGAAATTATTAACTCCTATACACATAAATTTAATAATCCTAACTATTTATATTTTTTGTGGTGTATTAGTGTCCAGCTATCTTCATTTCATTAAAAAAATTATTTGAGGAGTGATATAGACACAGATGTAAACATTAGGTTAGTAATTCATCCTTTTCAATCATCATAAACTCGGAATTTTTCTAAAGTTCTAAGATTAAATTACATAGAAAACTACTTCGCCATTAGAAGTTTATAGTTATATACATGGTTAATATCATAATTCATTTACCAAACATGAATTAATATACTCAACTGTGTGTATGAAGGATAATCTTACTTTATGGTTGATAAACTGAGTTAATTGAAAGGGAATTCATAATAACAACTAAAAGTCAATTACCTAAAATACTTATTATCTAATTTAAATATATGGTAAAGTTATATTAAACTTTTGATAACTGTACTATCCCTACAATTTCAGCTTTACTGGTTTTTTTTTCGCAATAAAACTATATGCCTACATATCTAATCATGTGCATATTGGAATCAAAATATTGCACTGACATGTACTTTGAAGTAATTTCTAACCTGGGGCTGACATTAATAATGTTTAGCGGGAAGTTGTCAGTTATTATATGCTTGTTTTCTTGGTTGTGAATATTTCGTAATTTATTAATATCCTAGGACATGTTTCAGCGGTCGTTGTCCACGGTTCTGAACGAAGATCGTGGTTGTTAACATAATAAATAACAATTTCATACTTGTTTTCTATTCCTGATAGTCTTAATTTGGCTAGGTTGTTTTTCTGACAAACTTTTGACCGCTATATGGATCTTATCCAATGGAGTTGTCCTTAATCTCTCGTAGAACCATGTTTAAATTGTTTGAGTTCAAAAATTTTAGCGCTTGATCAAACGTTTGTTTTCCCGACTTTCCTAGGTGAAAAAAGATTTCTTTGGACGCATAATCAATGAAAAAATGAATATTTCTAGTACTGTGAATACAACTGAAGGTAAATCGTGTTCTTTTTATATGCCATTAATGTACAACAGATTGCGGTGAGCAAACAGAGTCCATTGTCGACCGAGATATTTACTACCGCTTTAAGGAGGGCTACTCAAATGCAGTCCGACGACCGGTTACTATGAAAGAATTCTTGTAAATGAACTTGGAGCTTTTACAAACATTTTAAGTATAGTTGCAGAGTAAAAGTAATTTCACTTAGTACTTCATTTTCTTGTTAATTAATCCTATTGTTTGTCTGCAGTATTTTAGATTTCCACAAATTGATTCTTTTGTATGTTTGTCGAAGAATTGATAACTGCGAGTTGGGTCAACTATATATATATCTTCATTATTATGTATGCAGTTGCATATGAGTTTCCTTAGGATACTCAGTTATTTTGTGAGATTTCTCATTTACAATAGTAACCCAATACAATGAGTTTTCTCTCTGTTACTGTATTTACACATATCGATTCTATGTATGTAATGGTCAGTGTTTTTAGAACTAGTTATCACTTGTTCGTCTTATTTTGTAGTTAACTTTAAAATGATTTAACAACTGAATTTTATCACTATTTTCTGAAACGTAGCGGTTGCAGAGGATTTACTCGAACTGTTTTGATCCAGGCTCCCTAATAAACATCATAATGCACTATGATCATTCTTATCCGCAACATTTACCTATAACTTACTTTTGTGTGTGTTATAACTTGTGAACCTATGTGCCCTGTATATTGTATAACGCAACGACACCGCCAATCAAAGAGCAGCGGAGTATCGATCGAACCAGTGATGCATAAAACACGTGTGAGCAGCCTAGAGTCCAGATTAGTCCTACTTTCCGCCTAGCTCAGCCAGTTGAGTCCAGAACACCAATCTCAGCCTTTGCAATATGAATCATTATATTTCAAACATACTGAGTTTATATACCAATCAAACAGACCAAATCGTACCATAAAATAGGAAAAAACATCTATACAAGAATTAGCCAGATGTGGGTGTGAATGAGGGAAGTAGTGATTAATATACTGGGTATAACTCAAGAATGGTAAAACGTATCATAATAGTTTATGGGTCAAAATAAAGCTTATACTAAGAGGAATATGAATATGCATAGTTTGGTTATTTAATAATCATACAATAGGAATATACGTTTAGTATTGGTCCATAAATGGATCTCAAAAGTCACTATCCATTATTCTTGTCCGGACACAACCATGTGCTTCAGTTATTTGTACATTATTTACACTCAACAAAAGTTCCGTCATAGTCCCGTTGCAGTGAGCATTCTTAGATAGTGAGACAGCTACGGTCTACTTATACACTTGTTCAATAATAATAGTGACGTCTTCCCGTTTGCCCACAAATGTTCTTGTAATTCAACCGATCGTCACGAGGTACATGCATCCGCATTTAAATATATGTGTATCCCACCCAAATATATATAAAGACATATACAACGAATGGTTAAAATACAGTGATATGCATATGTACCCGGAAGGCCTCTAACACTTGTATCGCTTATTTGACACCACCAGGCGGATAGCAGTAATATATTTACTTCATGGAATGTCGTGCTTGTGTCTTGTTGCAAAGATAGTCATGTTACATAAGTCGCAGTTGTCGATATCTATTGCTAGGTCAGCATCCTTATACACTGACATCTGTTAAGGTACCGAATATTTTATCTCAGCTGTGGAAGGTTTAATTTACCCGAAGTACTTACAGTCGATTTTCCAGAGTTGATTGCAGTTACAGGAGTGAATATATATATATATATATATATATATATATATATATATATATATATATATATATATATATATATATATATATATATATATATAGACTGAGACAAATTACACATTAAGCACTACACAAGTTGTGTAACATAACTGGTAAGGCAATTGGATTATAATGATAAAACATCCTGTATAATATTAGTTAATTGCATTGAAATGTCTTATAATATCCTATCACTAGTTGACTTGATATTAACTTTTCTTTCTTCACTCGAAATTGGAGTCTGTTATGACACAAATGGTCCACGACGAAAGCTGTCTCCCATACCATCTACATTGTGCACTGAAAACTAGTCTGTAGTAACCTACTTTTATCAAGGGAATGCGATTGGTGTAATGGAGACATTTATTATCACAACCGATTTGCTAGGGATTGTTTTGCTGTACTTGTTTGTTTAACTGTACCAAAATACATACATTCTCCCGTTGCTCGTGACCTTGTATGTATTCGGTTACGCTCAGTAACCACACTTGTAACCTGGCACGATCTCGGTATCCTTTCGATACCACGAGATCGCCAACAAATACATCTCGAATACAGCCATCAACTGCCTTCTGATATTTGGTCTACGGGGGATCTTATCGGTTAACTGGCACGTAGTCTTTCTGTAGTGGTGATCATAGTCAACCGCGACTCGTTGCCACACTACAAGTCTTTAAATATAAGTTGTGGTGGTTGGTAATTCCCCTGGTCAGTTTTGGATCACAATTTTTGTACTCACACCATCATTCCCTTTCTTGTTCTTGCAAGGTGAGACAGTGCTCTTCGAACCTGAAGGTTCCAAACAAATATCTGCATGCACAGATTACATATTAAATTGATTCTCTCACTGTTTGAGATAGCGTTCCAGACGCCGGAGATATCGCAAGATAGTGATGAAGCACTGTTTTGTAATTCCCAGGCCTTTGCTGTTATCCGAATTTATTGACTCCGAAGTAGTTTCATGCTGTGCAGACTTAATTCTTGTGACGACGGCGCACGTGGTTACTTTTCATATTTTAAGGCAGCACTTTATTTAGACTGAATTTAGTCATTTGACTGTTATTTCAGGGATGCCAAACTGACTCGTTTATTGAACCAACTAATAGAATAATGTCGCTTGTAAAGTTTAATTTGTGACTTCATCGGACTTATAACTTTATGCATAAATGTAAATACTGGTGATCCCTTCGAAAGCACTTGAGAATATCAAGAAAAAAAGAGATTATCAATCTACAAAATCTAAAGTTGAGAGTAATGCCAAAGGGAATATTTCAAATAGTTATGGAAGAAAAGAATGTGTCGTTCACTTAAATGGTCATTTCTATTGACAATATATTATTGAAGTGTCCTAGTAGAAACTAAGCAACAAACAATGGGGGTAAAACCGAGGGCGAATGCCTCGTTGACTTGTATTAGGTGTCTTGATGTGCTTCTTCATTTAAACTAAGTGTTGAGATCGAATTCTGCAGCCTGGTCAAAATCTGGCTCACTTACCTATCAGTTCGCTCAAGTTAATTGTTGTTCTGCAGTTTCATGGTCACAGTCGTAATTTACCTGTTAGGTCTGATTGCAAGATGCTCTGTGGCAGCATAAAGCTCAAGTGTGCAGTATTCGTTTAAATGACGTACGATGCATGCCAAATGGTGATAACCGCAGTTGCTTGTATTTGAACTGGTCTATAAATGAATGAGTACACTTGATGATCCTGTAGATCACCAACGTAGATGACCTATGTCGAAATGATTGGAGGTCTACTCGAGTTAGTCGTGAATGGTGTGACGAACCAACTAAAGTCGAAGTCACACCTCGTGATCAGGCCTTTACGTGAACTACCTCCATTGACGTATCAAGGTACTACAAATGCTTTGAAGACTGTACAACACAAAGGACGTTATTACAGAAATATATTAGTTAAAGTAGATACAAGCGAATGTAAGACCAATGCCGCATGTGTCAGTACATGGCATACGATTAACTAATCGCGTTGGCTGTACATGACCTTGGCAAGGAGCGATGATCTGTTCGACATTCAGTGATTCAACTGCCGGATGATTTGGCTAGGGCTCAGTGACATTTCACTGACCCTACATTCCATTTCAATTTCTCACGCGTGTTTGTGTGTTACCTTGCCACAAGGAATTGCTAAAAATTATCTTGAGGTTCTCAGTTAAATCGGCCTGCAAATAACTACATTCGCGGCAAGCATTTTAATAAATGGATCTTTGTAGAAATTTTGATGGTGATGGAATTTTCTGAAAGGTTCGAGACACGCAAGAAAGTAACCAGTCAGTTGTCTGACGAATATCTACAGTCGGTTTGTTTGACTTCGTTTGTTGACGGAAAATACTGTGGTCTTGTAGTGCGTTGTATCAAATGAAATTTGCGCAACCACAACATACAAAGGTTATCATCCATCTGCTACCCGGAAGTGGTCTACAGCTACCAAATAATAGCTTCGACTCGGTAGCATATGTATTTTTATTGCAGTTGTCACACGCGGCTCCTGCTAGCTCCCTGTATGAGAATCAAACTAATAAGCGAATGAAAGGATAATGGGATGAGAACATCTGAAAATATTCTATGAGCGGGCTATCCAATAACATGTTGGTGTGGTAGGATTTCACCATACTATATCAATTCAAAAGAGAAATAAATTAAATTGGCTAAGGATCGTTTCTTTGCTGCTCTTAGATAATAAGTCACAAAGCACTGTTGTATTTAGTAGATATGCAGTTTAAACACCTTTACTTTGTCTCGGAAAACATACTGGTAACCATGCAGGAAATAGACTAACTATATATATAAGGAACAAACATCATCCTTAGTTTTCACCCATCCAGTCGTATGTTCATTCAAACCTTAAGTGACTTTTTTGTCAAATCACTGGTCAAAACTATAGTACAGAAATGAAGCTCATCAGCTGACTCTAAACCACATAAGTTTGGCACCTACAACACATCATTACGGTCAGGATCGATAGTTTTATTGATGCTAGGTTAATTGGTTGGAATAAACTTTATCGGATGTGCTACTTCCAAAAGACAGAGAACAAACTATATAGTACTTTTTGATACAGATACGAGGCGTCTATATTCGGTGAGATTAAAGTATGAATTAGTAGATGTAAGATCTATTTTGAATGTTTTGTGTGTGAAATTCCCTACATGTATACACTAGAAGTTTATTCCTATTGATTCCTTTAGTTGTACATTGTTAATCTTTTTGATTCCAGTTGAGTTGTTATTATTTGTATTTTATTGTAGTCTTTACTTTTCTTACGCCTTCACTAAGTTTCCGTGTTTCTTCCTGAAATGCATTTTTGTTGTTTTACTTGATACTTGGTCTTGGCGGCAGCTATATTGGTCTTTTCCTCTATTTGAGTACGTTGCTTATATTGACTGGAATTGTTGATTTTTGACTG